GACTATCACGATTGTCTCAAGTACAAGTATATTATACTATAGTTATATAATTAGTTTATAAAATTATATATTTATTGTACCTTTTAACAACTCGCACAACAACAACAACAACAATTAATTCAACAATTAACAATTCGCAATTGTAACAAGTGTAGAAATATTAAGTTAATAACTCGCAAGGATGTAGAAAGGTACTTGACTCTTACGAAGTGACTGAACCCTCTTATTCTTAATATATTTGCAGGATATCCTGTATTTACTTGAGTGTAGATATTAATTTGAATACCTTAAACATTTTAATGTTCTCATTGCAATATGGTTTTCAAAACAAAAAAAAAACGCCAAATTTTAAGCAGTAATATCTTGCTTTACTGCTTTAGTAGATAATTAAGTCAATGATGAACACATATAAGGAACTATAAAATAGTGTTCACTTATTGATCACACTAATCTTACGGCCGTTAATGAAAATAAACCTTCAGATACATCAAAGAGCACAAAATAAACCAACTATTGTATATTATCCGTAGTAATGCGGATACATTTCGAGTGCAAGTTTTCTTAGTTAAAAAGACGACCAGAACATATCAATGCATTCCTAACAAAACCCCTTGATTGATCCTTATAGGAATTGATCATTGTGACTAATCGATGAACACAAAACCTGATATGAAAAAAATAACCCCGCCGCAGCAAACCTGCAGACAAAGCGAATTTCCATCTACCCGGCTTGATTTCTACTAAAATATTCCCCAAAAATTTTCAGATTTATTTCCTATTTAAATAACATAAATTTAAGTGAGTAGGCCTACTTAGGTTTGCTGCTACGGGGGAGATATTGAGGTGTGTTTTTTATTGAAATGTTGATAGCTTAGTATGATATAAGCGAAATTGCCAAATTTAATTAAAATATATCCATAATAAAGAAAACTGCCACATTTTATTTATTCCCCATAAGAATAACATGGGAATTTAAAATTTAAAATGTTTGAAATTATCTCCGTAACCATTAGGCATATACTACAACGCTTCAATATACAAAATTATTTCTTTGTTTAAGCTCTACAAAATTGTTTGGAGAGAAATTATTAAATTTTGGTGTTTTTAGGGTAAAAAATGTGAAAAATCTATGTTTACCCCCATAAAACCCCCCAAAAACGTAGGTTATCACGCTAACGGACATTTAAATATACATAAATTTGAAAGGATGGTGTTTTTGGCCTCTGGAGACCTCAAAACGAAAAGGTAAATCAGCCCCGGGTCTAGGTCTTACCATGAGACCTACAGTAATAGCTTATTCCCTATATGGGAAATTCGCTAAAACATAGTTACTTTTGAAACACAATTGTAAGAAATGCTTTGACAGCTTAATTTTATTGTAAACATAAAAAGCCATTATTTTCAAAAATATAATTCTCTAATTTCTTTCCAAATTTTAAGACTTATAATAAAGTTTATGCTAAATGTCTAAGCTTGCAAATCTAAGAGAATTTTTCGAAGTAATTTATTCAACAGGTTCAACATAAAACAGAAAACAAGGTAAATGAGCCATTAAATAAGTTTACTTCACAGTCAACTTGCTTCAGAATGTATGTTCCGGGACAAATACCTCTCTCTGGGCCTATAAATGTAAACTTTTAACATACTGTTATTTGGTTTGGACTAAGTCTTTTTATCCTTACAATATTTATGTTGAAAAAACTTTTTGGAATTTTCAGTGCTATTTTAACGACTTCTTAGTTAATTATTTGCTACATATCATTACATTTTTAGTTTCGTTCGATGAACAAAGTAAAGTGGGAAATAAGCACATATATTTTTACCGGTCAAATAGTATAAACAATTTATTCAGCTATTATTTTATCTAAACGAGTTTTGTTAATCGTTTAAACAATGAAAATATTAACTATAAAATGATTGTTTTGGGGATTAAAAAATAATCCCAAATACAGGTATGGATAATTCAGGCAAATACATATTTAACATAATCGTCATTATTTAACCATACGAATACTTTAAATTGAATCTTCACTTTGAGTAATGTTTTATTATTATTCTACATTGTAGAGAAAAATATTTCTTTGAGATTGTTGGTTTTTCATTAAAAAAATATTTCGTGGTCTAGTTTTATGTAAATTTTGTGTTTGCCAACTTGTGCTAACGGGCCCTTATTAACGGGTGTTTTAAATTAGTCTCAGAATAATGTGTTTAAATGGATACTGTTGTTGACTCAACTTGCTTTTTCAAATAAAAATACAAAAGATTCTTCTATAGATTGTAAAACACAAATAATTCATTGCAGTTAATTTCAATCTTAGTTTACTTACTGACCATTAGACAGCCTACGTATATTTAGATTTCTAAGAATGATCAAAAGCTATTTAATAGTAATCGCCAAACCAATAGTTCCAATAAAGATTACATCATGTATTTTGAAATGTCAAAAGCATACTAACATGAAAATGAACTAAAAGAAAAAGGATTCCGACATGAAAGCAATACATATTTTAAGCTTAACCCGGCCTTATTTCATAACGTTCTGTTCATGGCAAAAGTTTGAAAGCTCCCATCCAATATGCAGTTACAAACTTTTCGACAACATTCCTTTGTATTCTAGAACTTGTTTCATTTCTTAAGAGAACGTTGTTGCCGTGGAGAACTTCTTAGAAATAATGTTAAAACCGTTTTAACAAACTTTGAAGGATTTCGCTTGTAATAATTATTTTTTCAGTTGGAACTGATTTACCTGGTGAGGATTTTTTATAACTTTTTCATAACCCCTAAAATTTACATATTCTTTTATATCACAGAATTTACTTGGATACTTTTAATCGTGACCTTTCAAACTATTGATATGTAAAATTTACATTAATTTATTTGCAGATGAAACCGCAGTATAGTGTTCATCTGCAACATCCCTGTTTTACTCGTCGGACCTTACCGATTGTAACGAATAAGATATCATTTTAATGTTAATTATCCAATGGAGGGACAAATGGTAACCAAAAAGCCAAATTTATGTTAGGGCTTCGCCCTCCTGGCGTTGATTTGATTTCTATACTTCGCTAACAAATATACAGTGATGGTGACTTATTGTCTTTAAAAAAAGTGTGAATGTGAATTCTATTTTAACAACTGAATCTTCTGTTGAGTTTTTAGCCTGAAAATATTGTAGTTAGGAGACCAAAGGTTTACGGAACTGATGTTCAATAGGCTACTTATTTGAAAATTGTTTAATATGATCGAGGTATGTAAATCACTCTGTATGGTGTAAATCAAACATTTCACCGAATTATCATAATTAGTAAATTGTTATCATCCAATAACTGTCTTAAAGAAATATTATTCTTAGAGGTTAACTGTAAGAAAAATAAGTTCCTGGGTTTGCCTTAATAAGCAAGGATATTCATTTTCATCCTTGATTGTTGAAAAAGTATTGCTTTTTTTCATTTCGCTTTGGAAGCAAGTTTTAAACTCTATTTAAGTGCCAAATGGGTTTTCCCATTCAAAATCAAAGTTATGTGCAGTTAGCTACTCAAACTACAGAGTAATATGGTAATATTTACTATTGGTACTTCTTCATTTTTATAACTATAAGAAGTAATACTCCCATAAAACCCCTTCAAATCGTAAACCTTGTAAAATCTAATTATGATATTATTTTAATTATAGAGATTATTTAAGATGTGTTAGCAATGTGTTTTTGTGTACCTATCTAAGGTTTATAATTGCATTTATACATTAATTTAAGCAATGCCTTGGGAATCGTGGTTTGAAAACATCGCTAAATATTTTCCGTTATGAGCGGAATTCTAACCCGGGACCTCGGTGCACAAGACTAGCTCTCCAAGTATGGCTCAGTAAAGAGCATATGAGCCAGGACCAACATCTCATATATATGGATATGTTAATATGTTATAAGGCGTTTACCCTCGTCCGAATTACTTAAACTAACTCAACACTGAACTTAAGCTTACCTTCAAATACTTGAAAGTATCGACTGTACTCTTCGTCACCTGCTGCTCATGTTATGGAGACTCTCATTACTGGTTATGGTACTTGACGTTTCATGGCCAATATAGCACGAGAAACTTCATCAGAGGTACTTCACTAATTACTGACGTATATTTCACGACCTACGAACCTTCTAAAAATGTACAACGATGTAAGTAAATGAATATGTTTAAAAATCCTAGAACAACGATGTAAGTAAATGCTTGCCTATAAAAATCCAAATGCAAATGCAAAATTACTGCTTTTAATTTTTTTCTTTTTTTTCGAAAATTATTACTTGACTTTATACAAAATACTTGTAAGTGTGACCATTTTGAATGTTACCATTACGTTCTTTATACGTGGGGAAATAAATTCATACTGCTATAAATCTTTTTCTTTGCTTTACAACTGTCGATCGTATTTTCAAATTATTTGTGATTTGTAATTTGTGTTGCGTCGAAGTGCAGTATGCTATTGTAGCTTCACGTGTATTAATGATTACTGTTTAAATATTTGAAATTATTGAAATAAGAAGTTTTGTTAACTGAACGTTCTCTGTTTATTAAATTAATTTAGTGATAGTTTATTTATTTATTTTTTTCTAATACTTCAAGTGGTATTGCAGTGGATTAATTGACAAACTTTGCCGTTTACAATTACAATGCGACATAAGATGGAAGAAACGACTTAAGAAAACTTATATAATTATTATTGTTTTGAATAATAACAGACATTCGCTCTCAATTTGGTCACTGATAAAAATTTATTTTATAAATCTAATGATATGTAAAGAACAAACTATGATGACTCTGGTTTAGGGATGATATTGTACAACATATAACTATTTACTCTTGTTAATAAAAGGGTTATAAGTGGTAAAAAATTACTTATAGAAAGCGTGTTTTAACTGCCGTATAAAGAATGAGTAGTATGGCCGTAACAATGCCGCAACAATTCACATGTATAATTGCCTGCACCTGTATAAAGAAAGACATAACTTTAACAGTCCACGTTAATGTTGAAGGTTAGTTCTAGCTAGAGCTGTACGTAATGTTGATCATCGTATTCCTTTTGGTAAGTAAATACATTTTAAAATATAATACAACATAAGATATACAAGGTCTACAGCAAATAAACAAGTTTATCGTCATACTGCAGCAAAAAGATCCGTTTTTAACATTTTCGTAGCGAGATTAAGGAAGCTCGCTTAATCCATAGGGAGTAATTTTGCCTTTTTGGGTTCCAAGAATTAAAAATCAGTTGTTGTTAAGAGTTGCCAACCTTGGTTGTTAGCAATCGCATGTAAAGAAATAATCAATCAATTAATTTAATCGGTCATAGCTGATTGTTGCATTATTGGCAATAGCTCGAAATATCAATAGTATACAGTAAGACAATCGTAATAGAATAAATGATCGAACTACTAACCGAACAGCTTCTTATTTACGTTAGCAAAATTGAAATCAAGCTGAATAATATGTTAAGAGTTATTTTAAATTTGTAGTACTGTGAGTTAATTATGTAAAGTAATAAGACATTTTCGTAAGAAAAGTTATATTTGAAACACCAAGTAACTATGTTGTTATGTCAAACGTAAACAAACAACAATGTAAACAAAGTATTGAAAACACATTTAAATTGTATCAGCTGATTCAGTACACTACATCGTCCCCCCTTCTTCTAAGAGTTAAGCCAGACGAAGTTGATCTGCGTGGCATCGTCTATTTAGTCCATTTGTATTTACTACATATGAGTAAGGACCATTCACTTTCACAATCGTTCCTTTCTTGAAACCAGCTCCAGATTTGTCTAGTACCCATACATTGTCGTCCTCTTTAAAAACTTTTTCTTTTGATCCAGGTTTTTGTAGCCGCTGTTGAACCAACTCTTCGTCGTTTTTCTGCTCAACGTCGGGAAACAACATGTCTAATTTGGAGCGTAATTCGCGACCAAACATCATAAATGCTGGAGTTTTTCCAGTAGATCTTCTCAGTGACGTTCTGTAAGCAAATAAAAAGCGGTTGAGTTTTTCTTGGAAAGTCCCAGCATTTCCTTTTGAAGCATTCATGCGTTCTTTGAATGTACGAACACATCGTTCCGCTAACCCATTGCTTTTTGGGTGATAGGGGGTGATTCGAGCATGTTTAATGTTTAGGCTCTTACAAAAGGTTTGAAACTCGTAGGATGTTAGCTGTGGTCCATTATCGCTTACAATTACCCTTGGATAGCCAAATTTTGAAAATAACTCTTCTAAAGCTTTGATCGTTGACTTTGTTGAAGTTGACGACATCGGGAATACTTCAAGCCATTTTGACCGAGCATCTACTACAATCAACCACATTTTCCCCATGAAGGGTCCGGCAAAATCGATGTGGATCCGTGACCAAACTTCTCCAGGAACAGGCCATGAGAATAACGGCATTTCAGGATCTTTGCTTCTGTTTTCTTGACATCCATTGCAATGTCTAGTGTGTTCTTCCAAGTCCTTGTCCAGTTTAGGCCACCAGACTTGAAAACGTGCCTTCCCTTTCATAGCTACAATACCTGGATGTCCCTCATGTAGTATTTCCATCACTCTTGATCTAAGTTTCGCAGGTATGACCAATCTCCCAAACCAAAGTAGAATTCCATTCTCAAAGGAAAGTTCTTCACGTTTGCTGTAGTACGGTTGTAGGTTAGTGTCTTCATTATTTTCCAAAGGCCAACAACCCCTTTTTAAATAGTTTACTACTTTTGAAAGTATTGGATCAGTTTTTGTCGCTTCTTGCAAACACTTTGTCGATATTGGTAGATCCTGTGAACGCAAATGGAAAAGGTGTGCTTTGTTACTGCCACCCTGGTCTTCCTCTGCAGATTTTATCGTATTTTGCAAGGGAAATCTTGATAATAGATCGGCTGTTTTGTTATCTTTGCCCTGTTGATAGTTGATCGAGTAGTCATAGGCACTCAGTGTTAATGCCCATCTAGCGATTCGATTTGAAACTACCTTCGGAATTGAATCATGTTCACCGAAGACTTTAACCAATGCTTTATGGTCCGTTCGAACTTCGAAATGTCTACCATAAAGGTACTGTTCAAAACGAGTTACTCCAAAAACCAAACCTAACGCCTCCTTTTCTATCACGCTGTATCGGCACTCAGCATGATCAAGGCGCCTTGACGCAAAAGCTAAAGGTTTTTCAGTCCCATCAGGATACTTTTGGAAAAGAGCAGCTCCAACACCAATATCACTCGCATCAGTTGCGAGGATGAGAGGTAGGGATTCGTCATAGTGAGCCAACGTGTCTGTTGTGGTAAGAAGATGCCTCAATTTTGCTGCTACCTGTTCATGGTTTTCGTTCCAATGCCATTTCACGCCTTTCTTTATCAGTTTGTGTAATGGAACACACAAGGACTGTAAATGGGGAATAAATTTACTGTAGTAATTGATCGACCCAAGAAATGATCTTAACTCTTTCACATTTTTCGGTGATTGCATGTTTTTCACTGCTTCCAAATGTTCTGTCGTTGGATGTATACCAGCTCTATCAATTCTGTGACCCAAATAGTTAACGGAATCTTGAAACCATTTACATTTTGATGTCTGGACACGAATTCCAGATTCTTGAAAACGTCTTAACACTTCTTTGACACGTTCGATATGTTCCTCTCTCGTTGGGGCTGTGACTATGACGTCGTCCATTTGTAGTACTGTGAGTTAATTATGTAAAGTAATAAGACATTTTCGTAAGAAAAGTTATATTTGAAACACCAAGTAACTATGTTGTTATGTCAAACGTAAACAAACAACAATGTAAACAAAGTATTGAAAACACATTTAAATTGTATCAGCTGATTCAGTACACTACAAAATTGATAATGTAAGGTCTTACCTTAGCAATCCTATTATTGTGTATTATTTGATATTAATTTTGGACCCGAAGGTCCATCTCAGTTGGAGTCTAGGTAGACCAAATGTTTATGTTAGAATCCACCCGATGGGTTTCGTAGAAAGTATCACATTTTACACATTACAAAATTACATTTGACACGAATATGGTACAAAGGTTAGAGACAAACTAAAGTTTAGGGGAGTTATTTTTAAGTGAAAAAGTGTTTGGTTTTCTAGCTTAGTTTGTTATTGCTGCATGTGATGAAACATATAGTGCATTTACACAGAGAATAGTGCATTTTCAACTTTTGACTTCACCTTAATAGTAAAGCTTAAGCTCGGGTCAATAATAGTTACTCTACGCCATAGTGATGAAATTTTATATTGATGTATTTAACGTTAATAAATAATTGTTTTTGTTGTTGCAGGTCTTTCTGGAGGCTTTGGAAGCAAAAGGTGAGGGACGACCTTTAAATTTCAATATTATGACTCAAGGTTTTTAATTTCCTTCAAAGAATAAGACTTTAGTGGGCCTCCATAGGAATTAAATAGTTAATGATATCTAGCTGGTAAATATTAAGAACAGTGTGAATTAATGCAATATTCTATAATTTGTATTTGCTCTTTGTTCATAGTTTTGTTATGACATCTTATCAAATAACAGAGTTGTTCAATGCCTCAAAGGAATTTTATGACAACAATGGTTTTTTATTTTTAATTACAAGCTAAATATTTGACATAATTATGTAACTGTATGTGATCTTTCACTTTCCAATAAGTTTTAACCTGTAAACGATGGAATTGCATAGTTATTTCCAACGTTATAGAGAACTGCCTGACTGCATGTTATTAAATATTTATTTAATATTAAAAATGCAATTTAATAAATAAATAAATTCGGATGACTTATTGAGTTCAATCATCAACCATTTGTTATCTAAAACATACTATTGAATTGTTTATATATTTATTGTTTCACAGCTAACTAAATAACTAAAAACATATTTTTTAGTTTTATCTGTGACCACGTCGATTCCAAGAGATGCAAAAAACCCTAAGGTGAGATTGTATGCAAAAGAGTTGACGATGGATTGTTACGAAATAAAAAAAGAAAGTTCCTATTCCGACCAGTATGGAGTGAAGATATACTCCTCTAGAGACATTGTCTGGATCAATCTGGACAGTTGTCACGACGTACACACCCTCAAGGTCAACGTCCAAGGTGACTCGTTTGAAGTGCTGCTACCTACTGACAGATGGACATACTACGAACACTCGGTTTGCAAAGGGAGTAGTTTTGATAAGAGCCAACTCTTCAAAACACGCTGGACTTTACGAAAACCGAAGGTAATCTTCGAACAAGTAAGGTTTTAATCACACATGTTGAAATTAAGTGGTTATTTTTAAGATGAATCAATGGATTTATAACTAAACAAAGAATTATATAAATCAAGGATCTGTTAAATCCATTACGTTTATTTATAGTATTATTTGTTTATAATATTTATTATATTACACGATTAGTAATGAGTATTATGTCATTTTATAGTAGGCTGATATACACACAGGTGGTGTAGGTGTAATGAAATAATGTAGATAGCCTTAATTTTTTTAACAGAAAAAATAAATAGTAGAATATATTTTTTACGAATTGGTGAAAATACCTGCACATTTGCAATGGAATATAATCTATTGATATGATTGTGTGTGACATATGCTACGGACATGTCTGAAGAATCGAAAAAACCAGTTTTAGTCTTAATACAAACGAATTAACATATTTATATAACGCCATCCGTTTTACTGTATTGGACTAATGCTAATGTAGAGTTTATACAGGTTTCCTCTTATATTATTACTTGATATATTTTTACAGCACAAGGCTTGATACAGCAAAAGGTAATGAGGTTAGAATAAACTTAAGATGATAATGTAAGAACAATATAACACTTAGATCAGATGTTAAACAATAGCAACCGGTATATTTAGTTCTAAATACGATACAGGATGACAGTTAAGTCTTAAGACGACTTTATAACTGTTTAACGATAAGAGAAACCACAGCCAAATTTTACATATTATTATTGGTAATATGAAGCTACTTTTTTACAACTGCTATTTTATACTCGGTTTAAGATCCGGTTTTACGGCATGGTTTTTAGTCCTACATTTAAGATTTTAAACTTAGGCTACTCCCCATCCGATCACAATGTACACCAAAAGCAGCCAACTGTGACCAGTAATGATATGCAAAATTTGGTTGTGATATATATTTTCGTTTTAAAGTTTAAAAGTCGTCCTAAGACATAATGGTCACCTTGTATATTAGACATTATATTCAGGCAGATTCAAAAAATCTTCAAACAGCTGCAATTTTGTACTCGGTTTAAGAACCGTTTTCCGGCATTGTTTTTAGTCCTACCTTTAAGATTTTAAACTTACTCCCCATACGATCACTATGTACACCAAAAGCAGCCAACTGTTACCAGTAATGATATGCCAAATTTGGTTGTGATTTTCGTTTTGAAGTTTAAAAGTCGTCCTAAGACATAATGGTCACCTTGTATATTAAACATTATTTTCAGGTATTTGTAGATTTTTTAATATTGCATGTCTTGTTTAAACTTCCTTTAATAACCTGGATATTTTATATCAAATTTGCAACCTTTAGTTAACATACTGAAATAGAATCTAAACATTTGTGGATTTGTTTTATTTATAACAAAATTACTAAAATACTTATTGGAAACACTTAAATTTTGATTTTAGACGTCGCATTATGACCAGGAAGACAGTGATCAAATTAAAATCCATCATGGAGATCATCATGATAAAAATTATCGACACAAATCCACAGGTAAGCCAATTAAAGAAAATTACTCTAAAATAAGGACCCTGTAAAGTAAAGTTTGTGCTCAACTCCCATGGGGTCTACTCTTAATGAATAAATATACAACTTTTCGTTTATTTTCAGTTGAAGATGTCACTACACTAATACCACGGCTGCGGGACTTCGGAAAGCACATCAAGATATCCGCATATTACAAGGAATATACATTGAAATGTTTCAAACTAGATGAGGAGGAAAGGAGAATCGTAGACCCGGATACAAAGTATGCTACGGCGTTGTACAGCACGTTCACAGACTCAGGCAAAATACCCTTTGCAATACTCTTCATGACCACATGTGACAAAATGGACAGAAACGACATAAACATTCAGGATACCGCATTGGAGGTCAGGCTGCGGACAGAAAAATGGGCTTATTTTACAAGGGAGTTGATTACAGATCCATTACAATTTAAGGGTGACGAGTTTTTTAAAAGTAAAGTTTCAAAATCAGTATGGACTCTAAGCCAGAATTCTGAGTATAAGACGAATTCTGAGGTAAGTTTTTCTACAAATAATGATTTCTTAAAGTTCCTAATGTTTTTTTTATATTTCACCCCTACGAAATTATGTGTTCATAAAAGCGAAAGAAAAAAAATACAGTATGTTTATTTTAAATGTATAGCATTAGCACTGTCAAAATGCAAAGTCAATTAGCAGTTTTCATCCATCTATAATAAAATAAAGTGTCCTGTATTATTGATAATATAAATAGATTCTTTATTAGCATAAAAATAATGAAGATCAAGTCAAGTCAAGTCAAAATTATTTATTCCATTATTATTTAAGATGCGTAATATGTTTTTCCCATTTTTTTAACGGCAGACATCTAACAGAAATACACTTTTAAGCCGTTTACTAAAACCACTTAAATTATTTAAACGAAAGTTCGTGCAGTCACTACTTAAACGCATACAGACCAGCAGGCCTAGCACCAAATCTGAAATTTACGATAAAAATATCTTTTCCGCGTTAATTTTTTTTTAGAGCTAACATCGATTTTCTAGTTTTTTCATGAGGACATCTAAGAAGTAGATCTGTTTCCCAATATACCCTAATTCATTAGTAGTTTAGATATGTAGACCTTCAACCTAAGGTTTGCTAAGGTTACTAAGTACACTAACACATTGTACAAAAAAACTTGTTTAACATTGCTTGTCATTGTTTGTATAACCATTGGTGTTTGGAGTAGTTTTTACCGAGTTTGAAGATTTTAAATATCACACTTTGACCTCTTGACCATTCGCACAACTTTTGTAGATAAATTAATACTTTTAGCTTCGCTTGTTTTGAGCTTATATTTGTATTGTAATAAAAAAAAAACAGTATAGTTCTCTATCAATAATTTAATGATTAATATTTTAACGAAACCCCCCAAAAATAATTTTGTTATATTAAAATAACTTCTTGATCAGCATTGTACGTGTTATTTACTTTCCGCTTATAATTTAGTAAACATAGTATAGCTCATCAACATATGCAGTAATATTATTTTTATGTTTTAGGGACCATCGCATTCTACTAGAGGTAAGTTGACAGTAAGGTAATTTAGATTAGTTGATAAAATTCAACTTAACAGATTGTTTTACTTTATTATAGTCCCCGATTTTTCCAATATCAAAAGAGAAAAACACATTGCAAACGATTCGCTGGCCCCCCAAAAAATCCTATTTTAAGCTCCTATACTTTATAAGCTACGTTTCTATGACAGAAAATAAATATAAGCTTATCATCCAAAAGTACACAATTCTTGCAGCTTAGGTCTCAACAACGACAATTAATTATTATTTTTTATTTGACGACAATAAGACAACTGACAGTCAATGGCGATTTTAAAATTATTGCATATTAAAGTCTCAAATCTTTGTGGCATCTAAACGAGAGTTACGGGTTTATTAATAGTAATTCTTAGCAACGGCCATCCGAAGTTAATAAAATATTATCCCTGTTCACTGAATATACTGGAGAATAACGATTTATTTTTTGCAACTTCTATGCACATTTTTGCTGTTAAATGATACAAAGATTTACCTTACTCATAGTCCAGTAAATCTGTCAGAAAATATGGGGTTGCTGTGCAAAAGGTCGGGTAGTTCTGATTTTTGGATATGTTGTTAGTATTGGGCCCATAACATAAAATCCAAGTTATCCACCTCGAGATGCTGCCGCTCGCCGCGGGGCGCGCCACTTGTTATCGAAATATCAAAAATATGGCAATTCCTATTGTTTTTCACTCAATCTCGCGAACCGTTGATTTTACAGAAAATTTTATATTATTACATTAAAGAAGAATAAATTTGTGACAGTTTAAGCCCAACAGCAAGTATGTAGCGTAAATAATGGTCAAAATACAGACCATCAAAATAAATATATTTTCCAAAGACCGATAAAAATTGTGGTTTTTTCAATATTTCAACAATATAGTTGTTTGAAGCAAACACCGTATTGATTTAGAGAGTATGCCAGTTTATTTGCCATTAATAGAAAATAAATGAAAGTATGAATAAAAATACCCCCACCTCAGCAAACCTGCAGACTAAGCGAATTTCCATTTGCTTGATTTGATTTTCACAAACCTATTTAAATAACATTAGGTTTAACTGGTGCCTTGGTTTGCTGCTACAGGGAGGGTAATATAGTATATAAAATAATAATAGTATGATAAGAAACAAATAAATTTACCCAATTTTTTAAAAAAGGGGCCAAAAATAATTAAAAAAACAATAATTAAAATTCTTCGCTATTGGAATAACTTGAGGTTTTTTTAATTTACGTTTTATAATTTTCTCCGTAACCAATAACTGTAAAAAAACATTTTAATGTACTAAATTATTTGTTTTTAAGCTCTACAAAATGGTCTAGAGATACATTGTGAAATTGTATGTTTTAAGGGTCAAAAATACGAAAACCCCGTTCTTAACAAAAAACCCCATAAAGCAACCGTTCCCATGGCCTGATCAAATCAAATCAAAATCGGTTTTATTTCAAAAAAATTTTTACAATATATACATATGCAAAATACGAACAATAGTCCCGCATAGGCCGTAAAAGACCTGTGCGCAGGACGAGCTCTATTACAAATCAAATTAGAAATATTCTTAAAAATTAAATTTAAATTAATCAAAATACTATTTACAACTAAGCTATGAGACAGCCACAGGAACAGTTAATGCTAAGTAAAAGGTAGTCGAGTGAATGGAGTTGCAGTTACTAGTCTGTACGCTAAATATTGTTTGGTGTACTTGTGTATTTATTATTGTTATATATAGTATACTGAACTGATAAGTGTCTCAGACTGATCGAGCCCAATCTCCGACAGCCAACTGCTAACCGAACGTTTATAAACTGGAAGAGATACCTGTAGATCTCTAATCTCTGATGGTATATTCCTATACAAAAAATTCTCAATATAAAAAGCATTGGTAAGGTTTGCTGACTTGAAAACTAGGGGTACCTGCATACATAAATTTACAGCTTTTGTGATTGGCGTCACTATCAAATCTTGATTGGAGTAGGTATATACAAGTAAAGTTTTGATAAAAAGTTGACGCACCGAAAGTAATTGAGTATTTTTTTAAATAATAAATTTGTAGCTGTTGAATTAAAAAGCTATTTTAATAATTAGTTTTTGTATGACAAACAGTGGCTTTAAAATATTGCTACTAGCTCCTCCCCATACTATAATTCCATATTGAAGTACCGATTGGACAAATGCGTAGTATAACATTTTTATTTCATTAATGTTAAGAATTTCGCGTACGTTTCTAAAAACATAAATTAATTTCCTAAGTTTTGTCTTATACTTCAATGATCATGCTTTGCGAACTCGTTTTAATAAATGTAGGTTTACATGCCGAAAAACAGACCTTCAAAATATACCTTCAACGGCAAAACTACTCTTCCCAAAGCTATCAAATGTTTATACATAAACATTTAAGCTAAGCTTTGGGTACAATACTTTCACATGAAAACAAAATAAAACAGTTTAACATAGTTAACAGTTTATTGAGGCTGAAAGATCAGGCAAATAAGATCTTCCAATTACAATCACTCTACAGATCTTCCATGCAGCGGGTAATTTTTCCACGCCAAGTGCGCCCATCTATACAGGACATGCTGAATATGAATTGAAATACAGGATTGATATTGAAGAACAAAAAAAATCACAAAGATCGGAAATTTCACTACAAGACGTACAGACAAGTTCTGGTGTGGAATATGGTCTGATTAGGCCATCGAACAGGCCCTCATAAAGACAATGAAAAGCTCTGGTGGATTGACTCGGGGACGAGGGATAACGGACAAAATGTTGTAACTTGATGGGCGCTTGGGATGATCCGTCCTCATCAAATCTGTAGGAAGTTGAGAAATATTATAAAAAATTACGTCAGTTGAACATTAACAGTGAGCAATATGTTGACGTGTGCCATTCTCGCATTGCTCGAGACAGCGAAATTGATGAAAAGATTCAATAGTGGTTTCCTCAACACACACCATTCATTTGCTGATTATTAGCGAATTTCCCTTATAGGGAATACGCTATTACAGTAGGTCTCATGGTAAGACCTAGACCCGGGACCGATTTACTTTTTTCATTTTGGTATTCCAAGAGGCCAAAAATACTGTTGGTTGAAATTGTTATAACGTATATAAATATATATATGCCGGGTGTCCGAAAAAGACTCCATAGTTTTCAACATACCTCACGATACTATTGTTCAAATGGATGAGTAATAATCATTTCGTGCTGTGTAGAGTATACTTCAAAGTTTTAGTTTCGTACGTTGGCAATGAGTTGCGTACACCTAATTGACCTTGAACATAGTTTTGGTAATAAATTATAATACAAATAATAAAATATTAATGATAAAAATTAAAAAAAATAGCTTGCATGTCTGCAGGGCTACAAATGGTTCGCATATTGAGGTGTGATAGTGTTAAAATAACTTTTATTTTATTACCTTTCATTTAATGTATCAGCATTATGGTATCAGTCGTTGAACAGTAGTTTGTATCTAGTACAATAAATAAATACATTTTCAAACTAGGTAAGTTTTTTTGGGACCCTGTATCCAAAAAAAAACTAAAGATTTTACTAAACTGTATCCAAAAAAGTTATTATCGTCCGTTAGCACGATGATTCCCAAAAATCATCCGATTTAGTGGAATTTGGTACAAATATTACTTTTATTTGTGAATCAAGAGATGGACTATTTATCATATTTACTTTGTATTGTAAGTGACTTAGCCTATTGCTTTTGCTTAATGGCCTATATAAATCATTGAATCATGCACACGTACATTTATTTATTAAAACGAGTTCGCAAAGCATGATCGGCATGATAAGGTCATAGGAACGGTTGCTTTATAGGTATTTTGCCGGTAAGAATATATTTTTTTTTTTTTTCAACCCTCAAAACATACAATTTTACAATTGTATCATTAAATAATTTTGTAGAGCTTAAAAACAAATAATTTAGTACATTAAAATTTTTTTTACAGTTATTGGTTACGGAGAAAATTAAAAAATGTAAATTAAAAAACCTCAAGTTATTCCAATAGCGAAGATTTTTAATTATTGTTTTTTTCCTTATTTATAGACACATTTTTATAAAATTGGGTAAATTTATTTGTTTCTTATCATACTATTATTATTTTATATACTATATTACGCTCCCTGTAGCAGCAAACCTAGGCACCAGTTAAACCTAATGTTATTTAAATAGGTTTGTGAAAATCAAATCAAGCTAATGGAAATTCGCTTAGTCTGCAGGTTTGCTGAGGTGGGGGTATTTTTATTCATACTTTCATTTATTTTCTATTAATAGCAAATAAACTGGCATACTCTCTAAATCAATACGGTGTTTGCTTCAAACAACTATATTGTTGAAATATTGAAAAAACCACAATTTTTATCGGTCTTTGGAAAATATATTTATTTTGATGGTCTGTATTTTGACCATTATTTACGCTACATACTTGCTGTTGGGCTTAAACTGTCACAAATTTATTCTTCTTTAATGTAATAATATAAAATTTTCGGTAAAATGAGCGGTTCGCGAGATTGAGTGAAAAACAATAGGGATTGCCATATTTTTGATATTTCGATAACAAGTGGCGCGCCCCGCGGCGAGCGGCAGCATCTCGAGGTGGATAACTTGGATTTTATGTTATGGGCCCAATACTAACAACATATCCAAAAATCAGAACTACCCGACCTTTTGCATACCAAAATGTCTTATTTTACTGGACTATCATTACAGTATAAAGAATGTATATTTTAATTGTATTATAGATAAATCATCTACCACCCATTTTAAAAAATGTCTCTTTATTTCATATACATATTTACTATGATTGTTTTGTTTTGATTATAGTAGAAGAGGTGTTCACGTACCCAACATTTCTGATAGCATCATTAAAGAGAAAAAATGAAATAACCGCATACAGCCAAGGCTATGTCATGAGTTGTTTTAAAATGGATAAAAAAATAAAGTTCACCATAGAACTGCCCACAATGAAATTCACCAAGAAGGCGCGTTATGTAGCGTTGATTCATTTTGAAAAGGATACCTCCAACACTCACCAGAAAATATATATGATAATGGCGGACTGTGATAATGCAGATAGAAACATAATAAATATGAAAGCAAATGAGTTAGAAGTCAAACTATCCAATGGCAACTGGGTATACTTCGAAGGTTCTGTGCGTAAAGGAGTTGTCCAACAGAGTAGACTGTCTAGAACCGACTGGACACTGCAAAAACAAGGTAAATAAGACATATTATTTATCATGACAATCGTATGGTTGTTTTGTTATTTCAAAACATAAAAATAATATTTAGTATCTTTGTAAAAGAGTCTGGGTTGTCGACTGAATTTTCGAAATGTGGCATTCTTTTCCTATGTATATCCTGGACACCTTTCCAGTAAAATTATCAAATCACCAATACATGTTTTATGTAATTTCTATCCAACTTAAGATAATAATATTTTTTTACTCTAAAATAATGTGTGTGTTTTATGTGATCCTACATACAGTTTTTCTGCTTTATGCGAAACTTATAAAGACTATATTACACAATTTCTCATTTTCTGATTCAAAATATTTTGTATTTATTTATTATTTTATTTATTTATTATCTACACGGTATGTTTTATTACAGGTCGATATAAACCATGAGAAAACTATGCAGGACTCTTCCAAAAACGATGTTAACAAGAAACCTCATAGTATGTCATAAATAAAAAAAACAGAAAATGGTATTTGTCATAAATAAAAGTGAGTTTCTTGGACCTTTACTTACTATTTACTTTATTTATTGAGATCTGCATTCATAAAGCTTATTTTACTTAAAGTAAGCCTTTAAAGTTCTAAAAATCTAAAAAATGCACTAACACGTATATTTTGAGGTGTAAAGTGCCATTTTCACACCCAGGATTGACAAAGAATTTTGAAAGGAGCAGTTTTTGTGGTAAATCCAAGGCTTACAATGACAGATAATTTCAATAAACATGGCGTTCTCGGGAGATTATTTAGGTTGACAGTGATTTTTTGTTACGAAGAAAAGTAATCCCATGTGAAAAAAAGTCTTCTGTGGATTCTGAGGTTTTAATAGTAGGCTACACACTGAAGTATAATTTAAGTAGTAATTACATAAATATCAAGTATAAAGGCTTAGTAGAAACTTCAGTAATATTGACTATATTGAGTTATAAACAGTTGGATCTTATAGTTACTTAAAATACTGTACAATACTGTAGAGAAGTTATTAGTTACAAATACCCTTTTATTTTCCTTACAGACAAACTGTGATATCATTTGAAGTTGTACGATTATACACTAACCGTTGCAAGATAATTTTAGTCTTAATTTCGTTTTTAATCTCGCAGAAGTTCTTCGGTTGAAACAGCGATACAAAAGCTTTCATAACTAGTTTTAATAAACGGATATATTTAACGGCTTTAACTTAATAAAGCCTTTTTAAACCAAATAAAAAGGTAGTGATACGAGCTAAGATTTACATTTCAACTTGGCTCAAAATGTGTTTTTGTATTTGTAATTGCTTGAATACAGAGGAAATTGTATATTATAACATTATAATACATTTCGTCACTTGAAATTTTTCGATTATTTTAAAACCGAACGCATTTTAATCGAATAATGACGACCTTAAATCAAAAGTATCATCAACAATGATGTTTTTAGTTCTAGTATGATAATAATCATCACAACATTTTATGTTATTATCAAAAGAATACAAATTAGAACTTTTGAATCTCAAATAATGTGTAAAAAACCGTCGTTTTTGAAGAAGTATGACGAAAAACTATTTTTTAAACATAATCAATGGTGAACAAGTTTACATGCCGAGGGCTAAGTTACTTGCGTCTCTAAGAGTGTAAGTAAAGTACCTAACATATCGATTGTGAGAAAGCGATAAGACACGTCCCACAGATATTGCCATCTTAGCCTCAGTTTCAGACCCTCAGGCGTTTTAACAACCATTTCTCTATTGGGAATCACGAGAACGTATACAGATACATAAAGTATAAAACATCAGTAGGTAAAAGCATAGATAAAACATTTCAACCTAAAGTGAGAATTTATTATTTTGGAAGGACAATCGAGTACTCTTGAAATATCTTATAATTTCAAGCTTTAAAGATTGAACAATATGCAACAAAACCAGTTAAAAAGTAAATATGTTGATTTACAAAGGTTATATCTTTAAGCTGTTAATGTATACGTGTAAAATATATGTTCAATGAAAATGTTGTGAGCATAGGATATACAAGCTTGCTATTGTACATTAATGTATATATATATTCAGATACTAACACACGTTAAGACCAAAGACATATATTTTGAAGTTATTCATATAAAAGTGTGGGTAAGTTTATTATTTGTGTAAAAATGTTTTTTGTAACCGTAGGAATTCAATTTAGTACATGGTTGTAACAATATTAAACTTAAATTTCGAATAATACATAAAACCAACTGGGGAATAACATAACTACCTTAACAACTCACATATTAATTATTATTATGTTATTAATAATATATAAAAGTTTTCAGGGTAGTTTGGTATTTTAATTTACTTATTATCATAGAAAATTACTTATCAAAATTTACTTATCATAGAAAATCATCAATTTTTAGCAAAAAGTCTTGAAAATAGTAATATTCATTCCCTTTCTATCAAAACTGGATATATTAAAAATGGTTCAATTTTTTTCAACTAATAGTTCACGTTTTCACAAACCCAAACTCAAAATTAATGTTTTTCTGGGAACTGGTCACGTGACCGTAACACTTCAAATCCGGAACTAATTTTCTTTTCTCTGAGAAATATTGCTTCCTGTCGGATGGACCAAAGTTTATCAATATTAGTGTTTTCGACCTTAATACGTACCATTCACATGTATAAAAAAACGAATGCACTGTAAATTCCATATGTCAGAGAAACACATTTAAGTTAGTTAATCATGAAATAACAGTAGTTGGTAAAACATGAGGTTTGACTAGATAAATGTAATGCTTATACACAAAAACATTAATTATTGATAAAAATTATACTCTGTTGTGACTGTAAAAAAAACAGTACATAGTAAAAAAAATAAAAAATGTCTTTACCTCAACTTAAATCAACAGTAATAAATAGTACAGCTATGCATGATCCAATTTCTTTTAATTGTATTTAGTAGGCATAGATGAAAGCCTTAATATATCACGTAATTATGAGGCAAAATGTAAATCACTGTTTAAATAGTATATAAAGTCGAAGAAAATTTCATTTATATATTTTTCAGCACTTAAATAATATTAGATTATTAAGCAAGATGTTAGTCTCTTATTATTACTGTATGAGTCAATTAAGTCAACCCATATTTTATTTCAATGCCAACTATACGTTAATAATCATAGTATGTTGCAACCAGGATCATAGAATTAAAAACTATAGAAAAGGTGCACTGTTTCGATTGGTTTATTTAACAACTTTATTTGTACCCAGGTAATATGTTGTTTAATGCCTATTAAAAAAAAAAAAAAAAAAAGTTGTTTATCATTTTATCTTAAGGCCATGCTCAAAATTCAAAGGGTCGTTTGTTATGCTCGAAAATATGCATAAGGTGTTATTTTCTTCATATTCAATATAAAGCTGATTTATTTATGTTGTAAAGGGTAGAGTTTTTTGAACAGTAGTTTTTGCTGGTGAAATTTGTAATTACAATTATCTATGCACTTATAGACCTCGGTTCCTCTCTGTTTTAATTACATTAACTTCTTCATAAGTCACTTTGCAGAGAATAGTTACTTCAAGAACAATTTGAACAGTCCAGACAACCTGTCAAAGTATCTTTTGACATTGACTGTCCTAGGAGACTGCGGTTGAAATCCAATCAACAAGTTTCATCTTAGAAAGCGATTCGGCCACTTTTGTTGTCATTGAAAACCCACACAATATAATCCAACGAGTAATTTACTAATCACATTGTTTGGTAATCAATACATTTTAGCACCTTGCGGCCCACTCATTATTAAATAATAATTAAAAACTCCAGTCTAATTTTAGTAATAGCAAAAGAAAAATATGCACTTTTAAAGCAACAGAATATTTATAAGCCTTGATTATTTAAAGTATTATATTATCGTGTGCTGAATTACGAAGGTAGGTAATTTCTTGTACATTTACCTAGACAAAAATACTGCATAGTATATGTGTTCAGAGAAAGTTGATAAAGACATGTTTATTGTTTAAATACCCAAGGCATATAACTTTGCACTATCAGTAGAAAATTCAATAATAATGATTAATGAATGAAATATTCAATAACTTATAATTGTTAAAGGACTAGGACGATAAACAATATTTTGATAACTCAATTTTTAGTTTTATAACATGCCCCTAAATTGTTAGAACATTTCGTAGAACTAAATGAAATAGATATGAAATATTATATATTATTTTAAAAGAAACGTATAAAGTGGTACCTACTACTTAATACACTTGAAACTACAAGGATAAGCTTAATTTTACATCAATGAAAGAACTCATCCGACCAAATTTGTGACTGGTCATTAAAATGATTAATGTTAGCGATTGAACAATGCACTTCGAGACATAGTTACCAAAGAGCAAACCAATCAGTATATTGTTAGTTCCCATTTGTAGCAGTTGTTACACGCTGTAATTCATACCTTCTTACACATATATTGATCAGGGTTGAATAATAGAAGGACTGTTATTTTAAAGAGATGAAGTTAAAGAAATAATTATTAAGAAGTTTAATACGTGTTATAAAATATAATATAAAAACATTATTTTTTATTAATGTTTGTCCAACTGAAGGTAGAATCATTTAATTAAAATAACTATATATATTTTTTTATTGACAAAAGGTAAAAAAGATACTATTTTAGACAAAGGTATCACTTATAGTTTACCAATCTTGGTCTATGTCCTTTTCAGTGATTCCATAATATTTTTATTAATCTAAATTATTATATTTATTTGAAAAAATTTATTAAACACCATATTGGTATATTAAAGAACACATAAAGGTAAAGATAAAATGATCTAACATTTGCTTGTGCCTTATCGCCTTGTTATAACCATTGTAATTCTTAACCATTTAAAATAGCAAATATGTAATACTAGCTGTTTGCCCGTTCTACGTACGGGAATCTTGTAGTAAGTTGAAACCTTATATTTAGAACAGGAGTTGGTTTGCATATTTAGTGTGTACAACATATGACAGGTTCAAAGCCAAAACGAATGCTTCGCAATTAAATGACACCCGATAGTGTTAGTCCATATTTCGTATCTAATGATATAAGGAATTTGCTTTATAGATCTATGAGGCATAGCCCTAAGGTAGGCTTGTAATTGAAAATTATTTTTTACACTGGTTAAAAGTAGTTAAAATACTACCTCAACCTCACTACTGCAAACTTTATTCGGGTTGAAATTTTCATTAACAAAGGTGCTCTTGGCTTTTCTACGAAACACTGAGAAATAAGAACATTAATGCGTTACCAACAGACTTACACACACAAATACAGAATTGAATTAGGGGATTTGCTACGCTTTAACCAAAGCAAATTACAAACAAAATAATTATTTGAAAGTTTTAATAGTGTCATCAAATTTTATAATAATCGTTTTTAGGCCTAATCAAACTCTAAAATTGGTGTATATCCGTTGGCAAATATATAAATAAGTAAATGTAAATACACAGTCCACAAAACATTTATACGTTAACAATAGCCAAAGACACTCTCACCAATCTAGTAAACA